TGATTCAGGGCAGTCACACACCGTGTCCTGAACACAGGTATCTCATTTAAATCAAAGACATCTTAGGCTGATCAATTTTCAGATTTCATTGTTCTTGAAAGATCAGCTGGGTAAAAGTTAAAAAACCATGATCCACTTTGAATGGCAAAAGCAAATCCCGCAGAATCTTTAATTGTACATGATTTGTATTGATTTAAATGTATGAGTCCTTTTGTAGTCTGAATAAGTTGTGTTGTTTTCTTACTGTGCATCAAGCAAACACATTTTTTCCCACCATATGAGTCACCAGGGTTTAATAGCTGGCCACTTAGAGCATCCATTCATAGTACAAGAGTCCTGGCTTAGGGCTGGGGATATCTAGAGTTAGTCAGCCTTGATGTAGGTTTAAATCTGAGAAGTTTAGAGTTGTCATAAATCACGACAATGAAAACATTCAGGGATTTGTCAGACACTGTTATGATCGCTCAAACACAGAGATGAGCGAGCAGAAAAAGACGGACCCAGGTAGCTGGCTTCGGTGCAAGCAGTGATATTTATTTACAGTGTGGTAATGTGCAAACATAGAGAGGTGAAGTAGGCAGAGGTAACCGGGTGTGATCAGCGGCGGATGCAAAAACAGTCAGTGGTATGTTGGATGATACTGGACCGGGCTGCAGATGCTGGGATCACTCCTGGGCTGGTCGTGGTTGGGATGAAGGATGGTTGAGGAGACAGGAGCATGTATAGACAGTTAATGGAGACTGTGCATCGACCTATACCACTGTAAGACACTATACCACTGTTTCCACAGCCTTTGTACTATTTACATGTATTGTTAAATCAGAAGAGAGCCCCTTTAAATGAATGAATAATATAACTGGCATGCCAACTAATCATCTTATTTTGATTTAGTCTATAAGCAGATATACATTAATTATGTTGCATTGTTTTGTATGCCACAGATTAGAATCTTCCTTATTATGAGAGAAAGGTTCCAGTGGAAAATATAAGTTGCAGAGTTCCTTTTGTTTTGAAGTAGTGTTTTTGCAACTCCTCCAGATCTACTTCAGAGAAATGTTTTTTGATCTAAAATTCTGGTGCATGCCAATGAAAAGAAACATCCTGTGGACAGGGGAATATTTATTATATGTGTTGTCTGGGCTGTGTATTTCTGGCTTTGTGCTCCTTAGTGCTGGTTTCTTATAAAAAACCTGGCTTCCAAGAACTGTTTGTATAACTTAAACTGAAATCTGCTTCATTTGCAGCACTTGTAGGAAAATAGTTGTCAAACTTGTCTAAAGAGCCGGAGCCGAGGCTTCCAACCACTTTTAAGGGTGTGGGTTGTGTTTTCAGGGGCTGAGCCCGGGATGCCATGACATCTACGCTGCCAATATTGACTGTCAGTGGATCGACATCACTGATGTACCTCCTGGGAACTACATCTTGAAAGTAACATGTCACATAAGTTCAGATCAACTGCGTAACATCGGCTATTCATGGGTTTTATTTTACAACACAGAGACTTATCTTTTGTTACCTGCCTGCAAAACAGCTGTGATGATTTTTATTTATGATCTTTATTTTTGTTTTCAGGTTACCGTCAATCCCAATTTGCTTGTGCTGGAGTCGGATTTCACCAACAACATAGTGAGATGTGATATCACATACACAGGAATGTATGTTCAGATACGCCACTGTCGAGTAAGCAGGTACTGAGAGTTTCTCTTGAACATCGATATTGTGCATGCTTTGTTTTGATTTTAAACACTAAACCACATGTATCTCCAAATGTGATGATTAAACTATTATCATATCCTCATTATTAAACAAAATAAACTATTAAAAACTCATTTGATAAGCTGAAAAATGCACTGCCAACAGTTGAAAAGTTTATTTAGCTTAAAGAGGAAAAACAGTCTGTGAGATGCAGGATCAGCCCTTGTATATTTGTATGTGTACATGCTGGAAGTCTGTAGTTTCATATTGCTTCCTCTTCCTATTTTCAGGGGTTGAAATCTTCGTTTCTAAGTGGTACCTGCAGGAGTTTTGCAGCAAACATCTCTCCCTGTACTGCACAACAACATCAACTAAAAGTGTAACTGGTGAAGTGTTTAAGACAGCTGTAATTCTGAGCTACATTCCTGTGTTGCATTCATTGTTGTTAAATGAATGCAAATGTTTACACCATTTTGTAAATGAAACAGATTTACTTGATTATATATTGATTATACTTGATTATATATTTGTATGTATGTGCAGTGATTCATTACAAAAAGCTACAGTATTATGGTCTTTGCCTTAACAAAGTACTGTGTTCATTTCTTTAATGGTGGCTTTATTGCTTGAAATGTTTTTTGTTGTCTTTGTCTTGTTTTTTGATTGGTGTTCATTGGCTGGTACAGTTTTATTTAAAGGATAAGAGACCAAAACCAGCAGTGCACCTGTTTTTTTACACTTTACAATGTCCCTGTCCTGTCTGTGGTACTTAGTCCCATGTCTCCTGAGGACATACATCTTAAAAAAATGAGGTGCACATACTGAAAATGCCTTCATTTCCAAAAATAGCTGTAATTAGTAGTAAATGTTACTCAAATGAGAGTCAGTTGTGTATTTGTTAGAGACTATTCTCAGCTACAGATTGGGAAGTGAATATTTCCAGCAGCAGGAGGGTGACTATGGGATCGGCTCACAATCGATCACAGTGCCCACGTTCGTTATAAAGGAACATGTCATCCAGTTAAACGGTGTGGCTCACTGATGTGTTTTAATACTTAATGGCCAACAATGGAGAAAATAGATGATACTTGTTTGATTTTTTTATGAGATTTAGAAGAAAAAAATGTTTGAATATCACCAGATGTATCATTTAACCTCTTGGTGGGTTATAAATATTTCAATTTCTATTAAAGTTAGGGTTGGCGATTATTTTCAGAAGCATTTTTTGTTATACATCTTGAGATTCTCTTCTCATCCTGGTGGCAGTGAATACATTAAATGCATTGACAACATAAAGAAATAAATCAGTCATCTGTAGCAGCAGCAAGGTTGAAAAAAGCTTGACCAATAATTTTATTCAGCATGAGCCATTGAATGGCCTACCCGCCTGTCAGCCTACTCCTTAGCTGTGTGCACCCTGTCTTTGAACGAGCCATGAATCTGACACAAGGCCAGGCAGGCAGATGTGTTACTGCTCTGTTATGAAAGCTAAAGCTAGCAAGCTGTGGCAGAGAAGGTACACACAGCAGCTTTCATTCACAAGCAGAGGCCTTCCACTTTAAGACAATATAGCCTTATAGGTAATGTTGTTGCTACCTCCATGCAGTATGAGAGCGAGAAGACCGCCACATGGAACAGACTCCTTTTACATGCAGCCAGACAGTAGTCAGCTCTGTGTATTTATGGGATTGTAATGTAGTTAATTGGGTTTTCATGCAGTTTTCATGTCTTCAACTGAGTTATCAGGCCTCCCTCTTCACCTCTCCCCACCAGAAAGGCTTGGACTTCCTAGGCTAGTTGTGAGCTATGAGCCAGGGCTAAAGCAGTTTAGCCATGAACCAAAGTTCCCCAACTAGTTTGGGGCCACAGATCTGGGCGGGTAACACTGTATTTGAGCTAGTTACAACTAAAAAAGAAGTTGGATGAGCAGGAAATACAACCAGAATTAACACTGGTGTGACTATTGAATGACAACGACAACTGGGAAAACAAAAGGGTCTGAAAAGTAACGCCACAGTGGCTGCATTTCTGCTGGACAGGTAATTATGGATTTGGTTTTGTTTTGGGGCACTTGTTGTTTTCCAGAAATCTGTAAGTAGTAGTCAGGCAGTGCACACTGCAGTGTGTATTGTGTTTTCGAGGAGTGGCTTTGGAGACAAGTCAGAATGAAAAGGTGGGATTTCTTCAGCCGACTACCTTCAAAATCGAGCTTTCTCTTGTTGGTTTTTACAGGATCTCCAACCCTACCTTAAAACAGTGAGTGCAGTGTGCTGGAGTACATTTATGTAAATGAATGCCTGTGGATGAAAGAAAAATGTTGAGAGCTGTAATGTAAAACTGTTAAAATTGCTTGAACATTGTTGAAAACATCTTGTTCTGTTAAATGTAATAAAGCTGGTGAGGAGTGAGTTTATTATCATAATATTTCTTGCCTTTACTTTTGAAATGTTAACCACAGGCATCAGTTTACGCCTGTAAAGTGCCAACATTTTAAAACTAACCACTGATTTCGGATTATTTGCTACACATTCATGTTTTAATATAAAAATGTCAAAGACCATTAAATAAAAATATTCTTTTGTTTCAAATTCTGTATCCCAGCTTGTTCCGCTCTGCAGGACTGACTCAGTATTTTGTCCTGTTGAATGAAGCTTAACTTTGAGTGATGCATGTATATTGTGGCCTCAGAGACACACAAACCTGGTGGCATGTTTGCTGACAGGTCTGTGTGAAGACACAAGCCACAGGATCTTATACAGCCATGCCTATCTACTAAAACACAGCCGGAACACAATGAATGGGGGCTTTTTCTCACAACGTCCTCCTCATGTAAAAAGGAGTGTCTCTCAGCTGCTGGCCCAGGATACACCGTATCATGGCTCCATTCATGTCCATAGAGGACTGTCTAAGTGGACTGTTTAAGAGGACAGGCGTTTTAATAGCACTGGGATATTTTGACACATCCCACCAGAGAATATCTCCAGGCGAGTCACTGTTTTTACCACGGATGAATCTGTTTTTTCAGTGAGCACCAGACTGTTTCAAACAGCAAAAGAGCTGAATTCACTCTGGAGTGAATATTGCTTCATCTGGTTCAAAGATGTTTTACCTAAAACAAATTACTCTTAAAAATAAAAAACTTTATATATGATGAGGTGGTACAGTACTGGAGCACATAAGGCTCCAGACAATGTATGCACTGTTAAATACACAGATGTTGGGTATTTGCAACAAAACAGAGCTCAGCTTAAGAAAGTAGTGGACTGGGGAGATTAAGCTCAGTTGAAATGGTTTACATTGGAAGCTGCTGAGGTGCTTCCTGGCCAGAATAGATTGTCTGTGTTATTGAAAATGTCTGGAAAATCCCCCCAACTCTTATTTAGTCGACTCCATTCCTGTGTCTAGGAATTTTCAGGACAATATTTACAGACAGTGATTATTTTAGCAAAGGTTATACAGAAGAGTTAAGTCTATCTGCTCCTCAAAGGCAAGAGTCAACATTTTACCATGCTCACCATTTTAGTTTAGTGTGTTAATTAGCACAAAGCACAGCTGAGACAGATGGGAATGCCATTAGTTTTGAATAAATATAAAAAAGTGAATTGATGGTGGAGCTAGGTGAAAAGGGAAGAGCTGTGAAAGTGTAATGTCAAAGGTGAAAACTTTGACTTGTTGGTGATGCTTCGTGGAAAGTCAGGAGAGTGACTCTCCAGGCAATGAGAAAATCTGCACCAAATTTCACGATAATCCATCCAATACTTGTCAAGACATTTTAATTTTAAAAAAATGCCAGCCTCATGATGATACTGGAAGAAAGGTCAGTGTCACCAACATCAGATTCATCTTCTGTTTCTCATGCGTGTCTGTACAAAAACTCATGGAACTCCACCCTGTAGTTGTTAAGATATTTCAGTCTAGACCAAATTGGTGGACTGTCCAACAGTCATCATATCCCTAGACCCCTGCACGGCTAGAAATAGTGTTGGATGGATGTAAAAAAAGAAAAGAAAAACTTGATTTAACCAGACCAAGTCCTTTTCATTAAAATCAACACCAACCATTGTTGTCATTGGAGTCAATAGTTTGAATTACACTTACTTTGCACCCTCTTCTTATTGTTTTTGCCTACTTATAAGTCAGAGCAGCATTACTGTTCCTGGATGTTTAACTTTCAATGATGTTGTGTTTGGCTGTGTTCCTCAGAACTCAGCTGGTCTCCTCCTTTTTGGACCAGTATGTCATTTTAAACATATCATGCTGTAGAGAAGACAGTGACTGTTTGCTCAGCTGTGGAGCTTCACACCCACATCTGGATGGAGTCTCTCTTCAGCTTGACACAAGCACTGAACACCACTGGCAAATAAATAAATAAATAAAAATTTTAAAAGGGCAGGCTGGCACATTTAATTTTGCCTCAAAAAATACAGTCTAGTGTACAGGTAGGTAAAGTGGGGAGGGGACAGGTTTTGCCATCTGTTGGCAGCACACACTGGTCATACTGTGGCAAAGAGAGAGGTTTTTTGGATGCATCTGTATATAGGTGGGGAGTGTTTGGAGAGGGTACTAAGGACCAGGCTTGGTATTTGCAGGTCATATTTCAACAAAGTGGGACTGTAGCAGAGGAACATGCTCAGCCTAGATAGAAAATCTTGACGGGTTGGTTTAGGCACAGAGCAGAGAAATTCCTCAGCAGTTCTGTCGTCCCGCTGAGATTAGGAACAGTGCTGAGGTCAGCTGTAGACCAGCCAGGGCGTATAGGACAGACACACCGGGCTACTTCCTCACCCGGGGGTCACTTACAGTACACAACCAGCAGACAGTGTTGTAAATTTGGCGAGTGAAAACTGCATCAAGCTCTGAGACAAAACACAAAGGATTTATCCTGGAGTGAAAGTGATGATTTATTCTGTTTCTCTTTCGAGCTGGGTGGTATTGTGACTTGGGTGGTATCTGGAGGGAAGGCTCAGAGGATTTGCTGTCCTTTGACTGCTGATCCACTGTGCTCTGTGTAAGCTTCATTTCTTACTTCAAACATAATCTTTTTTGTTTGTTTTGTTTTATTTTCCACTTTAAAACTCCTAAAAAAAATCATTCGGCACAAACCGTTTTTATCATAGTTGTAAGACACAAGGATTTTTAGAGAATAAAATTTCTGGTAAGAAGGTCTTTTAAAAACTGGTGTTTCAGTGACTTCCAAAAGACAACTGAAACTTCCAAACTGGTTATTATAAACTGTGAGTTTTGTTTATTTTACTCAGACAATTTCAGTTAAATTGTTTAAAACTGCAATTTACACTAGGCTATTTCAGGATTACCTTTACACCAAAATTCTGATAGTTTTGGGTACTTTATAAGTCAAAAGAGCCTAAAACACAATATCATAAGTCAGAAAACCTCTAGACAAAATGCAGCCTACAGTATTTGACTATTTTATCTTGTATTTAATTTCTTTTATATCTGACTGTTATTCTCCTTCTGTTTTACTTTTTGCTGGAAAGCACAGTGTAACTGTGATTTCAGTGGTAATGCACAACTGTTGAGGCCAATTCAAATATACAGGAGGACTTGGGACAGTCAGGACTGTTGGACAGAGCATTAAACTCAGTGCAAAAGCACATTACTCTGACCAGCAGTGGCATTACGAGGAGAGGTGCACTTTATGTTAGTAGCAACACAGTGGAACATTGATCTGAAAGTCAGTACTCATCACTGTTCCTGCTTGTAGCACGTAGCAGATGCCATGCAACTGCTATTTGAGCATTTGCCGTGCACAGTACACAGGTTTCTGGCAGTTTTTGGCTGTTTGTGTTGTTAATTAATTTCCAGTAATGAATGCATGTACAGGTTTTGTGCAAAGCAAGCATCTCTTGCCCACTCCCAGGTTGATAAGAATATTATTACTTTTAAAAAAAGCCCCATTGTGGTCAACATTTTGTAGACCATAGGCAACAACGCAATTAAGTTGGCATTAATCACGTGACGTTGCGGTTGGGTGTGGTTACAGGTAGGTCGACAGCAGATTACTCCTCTGAAACTTGAAAATATTAACCAGAGGGCAGCTTTTTAAAAAAGTGGTGTTAAGTAGTGATGGCGAGATGAAACTTAAGGTCTGAAAGCTTCCAAGCCAATAGTTTTACCAAAAGGTTAAGCTCGTTAAGCCTCGTTTAGAAACTCATTACTACTGACATCTAGTGGACACATTTTGCGTAGCACACAAACCCTGACATCACAAGTTCCATGCTGCACAACACAATTCTGAACATGGAGAAGCTAATAATGTTGCAGTCTTCACTGACAGCTGTTAGTGATATTAGAATTAAGTTAAACCAATGATAGAAGTAAAGGTGCTTAAGTGATCATATTGCATAAGTGCTTATGTGCTTGTGTAACTGATGAGGGTATTTAATTTTTTTATTTAGAAATAGTAGCAGACCCAAAATGTTCACAAACAAATCCTTTTTGTCTGTAGCTACATTTTATTAAAAACACTGTCTGACAAGTGCCATACTACCAGGAGTGCTGATAAGTATACAGATACAGATAAGTATGGGGATTAACCATGTGAAGGAGCTTTTTTTATTGCAAGAAATAACAATCAATGTAACAGTCAAATGTAACATAAAAAAATAATAATAAATAGTAATCAGTAACAGACATATGCCAAGAGTGAACAACAACAAAAAAGAGATTTAGCAGTTTATATAATTATATAATTTGAATAAAGTTATTGTCTTTAAGGCCTTAGGGGTGGAGTGCTGAATAGTTTCTATGTATTGTTGCATTTCACTTGTGAAATTTTGAAATAAAGGTTTTCTTTTACTGACTTTAGATTTATGAATATGAAAATTTGCTAGGATGATAAAGAGGTTTATTATATAATACTGTTTTGTTCTGAGTTGCATACATCATAAAAACCAAACAGCACATCTCTGCAAAATTGTGAGAAATTAGAAGAAATGTAACATCGAAAACAGTGGACAAATTCTTTCCAAAAAGCAACAGAGCAAGGGCAAATAAATGTAAAGCTGTTTCATTATCAACTCCACAGAAGGAACAAGATACATCAATGTTTTTTCTTAACTTTTTGCAAGTAGTGCTTTGTTGGGTAACATCGATGCAGAGGTTTGGAACAGCAATATTGTAGACAGACAGAAATTCTGAGTAAGACCTTTACAGTTTAAAAGTTGTTTTACAAGAAGTATGTTATTATTGAACCAGAAATAGATTTATTTTTGAATAAAATGCTCTTGGTATTCCAAATTAGATAAATTCTGCAGGGTGCCAGCAGGAAATTGTGTTTGAAAATTAGAGACCAGGCTAAAAGTGTTTGTTTGTGGAAGTTAGCTAATTTCAATGGTAATTTTTCAATATTGTAGTTTGATATAAGCAAACGTTTGTTCCTGCTTTAAAGTGGGTCATTTTAACACGGGAGTGACTCCCTTTTGGAGCCAGCCTCAAGTGGCCACTCAAGGAACTGCAGGCTTTGGCAATATTGCATTGGCTTAATTTCTCTTCCTCGGAGGTTGCCGCTCCTTGCCTGTCTCTGTTTTAGGAGGCTGGTGGTAGGTTTTCTGTCCAGATGTTAAACAGAACAGGAAGAAAGAAAATCTCCCATGAACAAGCATCAGACACCTGTGCTACATGTATTATTTTTGGAGCGGATGAGTGGGAGATGGCAGCACTCCGTCAGTGTTGTTTTTGGTCTGAATTTCTGTCTGACATTCCAGTGTCACGCCAGTATGGCCAGCAGCTAAGCCAGTGTGCCTTGTGTCTGAGGAGACTGAGATCGGGTATGTGGTAAAGGTGCAGACTTGGACAGCAGTCCAAGACATGGCCTTTCTCAAAGCCCATCAGGCTTCAGGTGCTGCACACATCTGAAGTCCAGGCTTGCAGACTTTAGAGTGACTGCTCTGAGGAGTGATGGTTGTTTTGCAGTTTCAACTTAGTATTTATATGGAATTCTGCTCTACTCTTATTCTGAGATATCTGTTTGGAAAGTTTTATTGTAGTAAAATAGAGTTGAACGAGAGATCTTTAAAAAAAAACATACTTTATGTCACTGCCAAAACAGAACTCTCTTATGTACAGCAAACAGCGCTGTTGTATCTGGACATGGCAAATAATTAGACACAGTTAATGACTAAACTATAAAGCTTTTTAGTCTTCACTCATGCAAGAAGACAGAATTAAAGAGATCCAGTTCTGCATGTTTGATTCATTAGTCTAATGCTGAAACAATTAGTCAGTGGATTTGTCAAGCAGGGGGAAATAACAATCAGATACTTAAGTAATATATCATACAAATATGCCAATAACGGCTGCTTCCAGCAACTCAAATAAGAGAATTTGCTGTTTTTCTTGGTTTTTAAAGATTTCTAAATAGGCAGTATCATGGCCAGGATTTTAGAAATGCAGGAGATCACAAGTGCAAGGTCCTCCAGTGCAACCCTTCATCAGGACAGACAGGTACAGGAGCAGTACTAAAGAGCAGAGTACTTGGTGTTATGGTCCTGATGGGGCTAGAGGACATCTGGTGTCTCGTAGAGCCGATTTGAGTCGGCAGTTTCGGCCAACTTGTGGAGCATAATGGAACATTTTGGAATTGTAAACAGATCATTTCAGCAAAACTGATGTGTGTTTGTTAGAAAGCACAGGGCTCATTCAAAGATCCTGTGTTTAAATAATTACTACCAATAGGTGCAGTGAAAGCTGGGCAGGTATAGCAGCAGTAGGGTGTCATGATATCTGCCCCTGTCCTGTTTTTTCCAGCTCTGTCTCCAGCTTCACACACATACTTTCTCCCCAGGTTCCTGCATTTCTGTGGGATTTTCTGGTCTCTCATCTTCTTAATCGAGCAACCAGATGCCCCTGGACTTTCCCTCAAATCCCAGTCACCCGACCTTTCCCACCCACTCACACATAACTGTTGCCAGTTTCCTGGTCATCCCAGTGAGTATAATGCTCCTCTCCAGATCACTGTATGCCTCTCATGTTGTATTACTATGGACTACCAGTCTTGACTCCTTACCTGTTACCTGCGTCTTGACTCCCTCATTTCTTCTCTGCTTCACCTGCCTGTGTGTCTACATTTGGCTCTTTCTTGTGGGCCCATGCTTGAACTGTGACACAAGAGGGCAGTGTGGCCTGATGTGGTGTCATCCTTAGCTCTGGGAAATTGTAATGGGCATGACTTCTGACACTTTATAAGCTAAAATAAACTATTCATCCTGAAAGTGCTGGTCAGATTAATCAATAATTAAAATCATTTTAGTTGCAGACATATTCTGGAATTTCAAATCATGATACAGTGCATACAAGGATGCTTGAGGGTCCAGAATATTTTTCATTTCGAATGTTGTTCTTGATAAGTAATAATGGCCTCTGGTACGTTACCTCACCCATCTATCTAACCTTCAGCGACTTATCAACTCTACGGCTACGCCCCTCACTTGCCATTATAACACAATTACTCTAACTGCTGTAGGCTGCAGACAGAAAGAGAGTGGCCAGGACAGTGAACAGTTTTCATGTGTCATCCTCCATCTGTCACTGTAGTTTCCTTCAGCACTGCAGAAACTGAGGGATGCTTTCTAAGGTGAATGGATTACACCAGTTTGCAGAGAGAGGGGGGCACTTTGCTCTGGTAGCAGCGAGAGTAGAGCGGTGAAAGTCTCAGACAAGATTTAAACAAACAGGGACACAAATGCTGGCCTGGCTGGCCTGAGATGCAGCAGCAGGCGCTCTGACAGAATAAGGGCGTGAAAGATCATACATTGCCATCTCTAGCTCAGCCCGAGAAGTAGTTCCCACAACCTTTTGGGAGATGCTCCTACTTCGATTAGACTCAGTGAATGCATAAATAATTTCCCAGTGTGGGGGCCAACGAAAGGCTGGCACCATTTCTTTTATTTCATGTTCAAATGTGGGATGTTTAGCAGTCAGTACAATAGAGTTAGATACCTGGGACACCAGATTGATTTGTCTGAGAAAGGTGCAGAAGAATCTATTATTTTGTAAATTAATCTCATCTCTGCCTTTCCAACTTTCCTGTCTCCTCACTGGTATTTCTTGTAACATACAGTAACAACTATGCAGCCTGGAGAAAAACAGTCTAAATCATTTTATTTGTAAAATAGCTGTACAATAGCTTTGATGATATAAAACTGTATTATATTGGTTAGATAGCATTCAGACTGGTGTAAGTTACCTAAAATAGATGTTTGCAATAAAAAAATAGTAAAAATAAATAAATTCTGGCAATAAAAGATACCTTTAAGCTTCTGTTGTTGCAGTTCACAGTTTGTCCCAAGGGCACGAGAAAGCATACAGTTTCAGAGAGGTTTGATGGCATCATGCTTCTGTGCTTGCATGACATACAGTCGGGAGTCGACTCTTGAGGGAGTTTCCCTTTGGAAATATCCCCACCTTCAGGCTGCACTCTGTTTCCACCAGCTGACAGCTTGTCTCAGTGGCATCAGCTCCTGCTGGGAAGATCATGATAAAAAAGAAAAGGGAGGGAACTATTTAAATGCACAGCTCAGCACCTGATGAGCGTAAAGTCACAGCTCCTCCTGTCAGATATGGTACATGCAGTACAAACTGGGCTTCTTCTTCTTAAAGCTTTTCTTCTGTACTGTACTGTGCGTCCTTGTGAGTCATGTTGCTTCACTTGCAGAGGAGCACTGTAAACCAGATTTTTTTTTTTATTATGGCAAGTGGTGTGTGTGTGTGTGTGTGTGTGTGTGTGTGTGTGTGTGTGTGTGTGTGTGTGCATTGTTCATGTATTTCTGTGTCAGTGAAAACCAGTGTAAGTTTTAGATCTTGAGTGTGGAGATTATTGGAAAATGAAAACTTACACCAGTCCTCATGAAAAAAACCTTTATGGGCACATTAGTATGGGGCCGCTATTGCTGTGTTTCCACTGTTGGAACCTAATGAGTGGTATGGCCCATACTTCCATTAACCATCACCAAGCATAGCTTCCGGGGTTGAAGCAGACCATACTGCTTTATTTTTCCACTGCATTTTCTTGGTGTTGGCCTCTGTTTAGAGGAGGGAGGGTCTGCTCCTCTCTCACACATGCAGTGAACTGTGTGTTTACACACGGTGCTTGTAGGTATGGCCCATACTTCCATTAACCATCACCAAGCATAGCTTCCGGGGTTGAAGCAGACCATACTGCTTTATTTTTCCACTGCATTTTCTTGGTGTTGGCCTCTGTTTAGAGGAGGGAGGGTCTGCTCCTCTCTCACACATGCAGTGAACTGTGTGTTTACACACGGTGCTTGTAATGCTGACGCTTGTGAAGATGCAGACATTTAACCAATCACCGGCGACTGCTCTGCCCACACGCATCCCCTCCCCCCTTGTGTTCCTGATACATGATTTTAGTACTACCTCTTGAGAGGTGCTGAAATTTAGCTCCCGGAACTAATCTCCAAAGCAGGCGCACCGTAGTGGAAACAAACGCAGAACCCATGATGGGCATTACTCGGAGCGGCACATTTCAGCAGGTTCCTATAATAGGAAAACGGTAGCCCTCTTTCTAACTGTTTCATTTTTCTGTCACTTTATTTGTCCCCAGATTGGTCATGCAGCAGTAAAACAGAAACACAGGTTAAAAAACAAAGCATATAAACACATCATACAAATGAACAATGCAGGAAAAACTCAGAACCCATGTTAAAATAAGTTAAACTACCATATTTGGCCAAATATCAAATACACAAATAAAGAAAGTGCTTCAGTGATGAAGACACACTTCTCTGTGGATCACCGGTATCACAGAAACTTTCCCAACAAGATTATTTTAAAAGTTTTTCCAATCCTATGAACACACAATGTTCATGTTACCAGGAAAGCTACCAGCTACATTGCAGAAGGTACTGGGAATACTACAGGTAGCCAGCTGGCCCCATGTGTGCTGTGTACCCTTCTGATTGAACACAAAATTATTTAGGAACATGCACCGTGATATCAATTGAAATGATAAACTTTTAAAACTAGATCTCATCATTTCTAGTTGATATTGCAATGTAGTTGCACACATTCACAAACAAAATGAATCAAATTGCCCCCTGCAGGTCTGGGAACACAGTGTTCTGGCTCGATTCTCCTTTAAGCCAGGTCAGTTTAACCATGTTATTTTGCTACTTTTGTGTTATTGTTGCTTTCTTTTTCTTCTTCTTCTCTGTGCTATTTCATTTTTTAGGAAATCATATTGCATGTTAACTGTAAAGGAAATATAAGAATGTTACCCTGGGATTACCCTGTTACCCTGTGTGTGTGTGTGTGTGTGTGTGGCTTGAGTTGCTTGGCAATAAATCTGTTGTGATGATAACCATTTTAACATTGAACCTGCTCTGGGTGACTAATTCACTTGAATCAAGCCATTAAAGTGTGAACAGCATCTGCGTGTTGAACGAAAGGACAGCACTAAACAGAAAAGGTGTATTACACTTATACCTAATGAAACCATCTTATCTCATTAAATGAATGAAACTTAAAGCACATGCACTTTCTCGGTGCATTTCTCTGGCAGCTAGCCTCAACCTGAAGCTGCAACCTTGTGAGCATCTGTCCCTGCAGTATAATACAGACGCCTGTACCCTTCTGTTTATGCAGATGTCAGAAATACACAGAGTTTGCCTCACTCCACTCTGGCACGTGGCCAGGGGGTTTTATGATTAAAACCAGACTGTGCTTGCCCAGCTCAGAGGCCAGAAAAACAGATTGCAGTTACACATACTCTGCACAAGAGGGAAGTACAGAAACATGCTCGTCTGTTTCTGCAGCATCTGCAAAGATGTTTTTTTTTATGGGACTACTTAACAGTATGCATCTGCTGTTTATTTCCCCCCTTCTGTTGGAGGGACCTTTTCACAGATGTCATCTTGTTATTAAGTCTGCTTCTACTGTCCCTCACAGTCAGTAATGATATGTCTGACTATGGCACAGAAGAAAGGCGTAGTTCCTCATCACCCCCTAACAGTAAATGATGCTGATTCTGAGTCAGAGCTGCGATCATCCTGTAAATATAATGACGCCTCTTTTGTGTCATATGATTGGAGTCAAGCGGCTCTGGGGTCTTGCTGTGCCAGAAATGACTGAGCTCCTGCCAAGTCTCAGTTCCCTCGAAGTCATGACTAAGTTACACTGTAAAAAAAAACGCTTGTCTCAAGATTTTATCTTCTTTTCTGTCTTCAGATGGAAGTCATTAGTGAGCTATTTTGTCATATTAAATGGATTTTTAATTTATTTGAATAAAACTCACTTTATCATTATTTTGAGTCGTTTTAAAATACGTAATAACCAGTGACTGGTCTTGTTTGTTGTGAGATCAGACGTTCCTCTAATCTACTCAGAAAGTTGAATTTTACTTCATTCTGCTGCCTGGTTTTGATCACATGTGTAACTAAACCTAAAAATAAACGCTTCCTTCTCGTTTCACTTGCCGAGACAAGACACGTTTTGTAATGTAGTAAAGACTGGGAAATCATGTGACATCAACAAAAACAGACGCATTACGCCCCCTCTGCTGCCGCCCACACACAGACGCCACACACACACACACACACACACAAACCCTTTTTTGTAACAGGGAGGAGCTCTGCAATCCAGTCACTGACTTTACTGCCAGTAAACACGACAAAGATCATCTGAAGAAACATCAACACTGTAAAGAGCCAAGAAAAGTCCTCTTGTATCTGAACTTACCATGAGTTGTTCCCCTGCACAGTGTCTCTTTGACCTCCACTTGTTGTAGCAGGGTCTCATGTTTCAGGCCCCCATGGCACTGGGGCAGACCACCCCTTCCTCATACCATGCTGGTGCTCTGGTGCCCTCTTCCAGGGCTGGCAGAGGTCCTCACAAGCTTAGGAGGAGGGTACAGACCCTTGCCACAGCGTCCGTTTTGAGGGTATGGAGGAGGCTTCTGAGTTCTCGCGTTGGAGGTGCTGTTCCCAATTATGACCTTAGGGTCCAGGCTCTGTGGGTGGGGCTCTGAATGAGTTTGGCCAGTGTGGTTGGGGTCTCTGAGGGGGTACAGATGAGGCAGGTGACCATTTACACCAGGCCTCTCTGGGATGATGTCCTTACTCTGGCTGGGTGGGGTGAAGCGGCTGGTTTTGACAACTGATGCAATGTGAACAGGGGAGGGAGAGTTGGTTCTTAAGATGATGCAATCTTCATCAAAGTGTTGTGACACCTGGACTGGAGCAGGCTTGTGATTTAGCAGCGGGGCCCCCCGGAGGTCCTCTGAATGAGTTGAGCCATCAAAGTTATTGGACAACCCTTGGGTGGTGCCGGGTGCCTCCTCACTGAGGTCGATATTGGCTGTGAGACGATCAATCTGCTCAACCACCTGAATCATAATAAAGAGGGTCAGTACTTCCCAGCTGCAGTGGAGAAAAGTACTGTGACTGCTGTGAGTCCAGTACTGTACCTAGGTGCAATTTTGAAGGGCAGTACTTGTATTTTATTAGCATTTTTCTATTTAATACCACTTAATTTTTCTACTCCACTAGAAATGAATTTATTAGAACAGCTATAGTTACTAATTACTTTTCAGGATAAGATTTCACATAAAGAAAAACATCATAAACTTATGCAATTAAATGTTTCACTAAGAACCAGTAGCTTCTAATAGTTATGATTTGAGACAATCAACAAAAATGCATCCTCACTGGGTACACTTGTCATGTTTCTGATGTCTACAAGTTGTTAGCACTTCTACCAAAGACACATTTTCACTGTTACAAAAAGAACTGACTAGAAACTTTAAAATGAATACACAAATCAAATTTCCTAACCTATTAATCATCTCGAGGCCCCTGAAGTTTTATCTCATGACCCTTTGGAGGGGCCCTGACCCCCAGCTACCTAACCGTATATGCAGTAGTTGAAACTAGTTTCCTCTCTAGCACCTAAAACAGTAAAATTGCTGATTAGACATCAGATATTAACAATCTAATATATGCTCATATTCTAGTCACAGGGGTTATTTTTCTTGAATTAGAATAAAGTATTAGTATGAATTAGTTTCATTTAGCTTATTAAACTAATGTAATTTGACTGACAGTACTGTAAGTGTGAGGTGGGCAGTAAGTGTAGTACTTTTAGAAACTTCTAAGTACTTCTTCCACCACTGTCAAATTCTATTTAAAATCACAAGTTAGTCTCTGGCAGTGCTGCGACTAAATCAGTAATCAACAGCTCAGTTAGTCATTCAAATCAAAGCTACTTCATCCAGATGTCCTTTTGTTTCCACTTGTCTAAATTCACAGTCATGGGGATTTTTCCGTTGTTATACTGCTTCAGTATAATGCCATCGCTTGCCCAGATACATTCAGCTGGGAATCGATGCTATTTTACTGCTGCATGCAAAATGGATACTGTAAGAGCAGGGCATAATTTAGTAACAGTTTCAAGCCAGGCTTTTTAATGTGCTGGCTGGAACCCTGCCAGTTTCAGCAGTGCCCTGCAAAAGGTCAGTGCAAATTGTTCTCAATCACCACTTCGGTAAGAGATGATGAGTGAGTCACAAACAATGTAGTCACCATGTACACACATACTTACTGATATGCTCTCATGAACATACACACACACAGAGAGATAAACAACCTGTGAACTGCACTGTGACTCATCTTGTCAGCATCTGAGCTTCAGGTTAATAATTTTAAATGTCATAATATCTATGGGAGCATTAGTGAAAAGCTGGGGCATCTGCACCTGATGCAGACCTCCATGTTTTGACACTTGATGTACATGTAAAGAATAAACAGGTATAATGATAGATCCTCCTACCTCTTTCATCTCCATGTGAACTTGTTTCAAACCCCCCAACACATCCTCTAGATCTGTCACCACTTGTCGGATTTGATCCCTCACTGAGTCCTGCCTCCTGTTTTGCTTCATCACCTCTGAACCCTGGCGCTGGAGTTCACTGGTGGTTGTCAGTTTTGAGGTTTCTGGACCAGTGATGCCCGAGGAAGGGATGCAGGGCCCCTTCTGTCTACTTTGGTTCAAGTATTTTTGTGGGACTTCAGTGGAGAAGAAACATTTGTGAGAACCACCCCGTCCATTACAGCTCTCGTCTGATCCACCCTTGGGTCTGCCCCAGTCCTGATGGCTATCTCTTTCCTCCCCTCCCTCAAAGAACACAAGCCTTGGTCCACAGTGGCCATTTGATATGGGCAAATGACCCAAATGGGAACCATGTGACCCCAAATGGTAGTTCTCAGAGGTGCATCCACATCTTTTCTCTTCTTCTTCATCCACAGAGACATACCTGACAGTCCTCCTGTGCCTGTACCCTTGACCTTTGACCTGAAGATGAGGGAGAGGATGCGGTATGCCAGTGTTAAAGGGTTGTGCTCTGGCGTCACTGCGCACCACACAGCCACACTGTTCTCTGACAGACGGGTAGTGTCTCACCCCAGACTCCAGTGGGTAATTCCAGTGGGCATGGTTCAATTCCCAGGGGCAAACTTGGCTTAAGTCATTTGACTGGCTGTATGGGCCCAGCTCTGTGAACACAGGCCTCCTCTGTGGGCTGCGATGACCATTTCTCTCCACTCTGTCCACTATGAAAGCTCTGCCTCCTACCTCTTTAACTCGAGGAGCCTGGATGTCTCTCCTGCAGTCTCTCTGTCTGGCCGATGCTGGTCGGTATCCTGCCTCACCGTGATGACCGTATGGCTGCTCATAGTGACCACAGTGCTGACAGGGGCAGGGGGTGCTTTTGTGCTGAAGAAATCTGTGGTATCCTGTTGTTTGAGCGCCTTCTGTGTACATGTCCAAAGAAGTCCAGAGGCTTGTGTGGAAAATGCCTTAGAAAACGACTGGTTTCCTCCCCTCCCCGCTTTCTCCAGCCCAGTCATTCACTCGTTCTGTTTTCCTCATCTACGTCTTTGCACAAGAAAACTTTTCTTCAGCTCCTTTCCTCCAGCTCTCTATCCAAGACGTCTCCCTCCCCTTCCTTCCTGTCTGTTGTTTCCCTTCTTTTTCTCTCCTGTAGTTGTTAATGTCTACACCAGTCCTTTTTCTTTCTCTGAACACTTTTCTACTTCTCCTAACTATAACATACTCCTTCCTCCTTCTCACCCTGCAGTCCTCTCTACTACATAGAACCCTTCTCCACCTCCCTCCCTCTCTGTCTCTCTTTCTACCTCTCCCGCCTTGTTGTTCTTTCTCATTTGCTCCTGCAGGCTTTCAGTCTCTCTCTCTCTCTGGCTGTGTATTTCCCGTTTCCTCCCCTCCCCTCTCCCGCTCTCCTCTCTTTCTCCACCTCTTCGTCTCTTGCCTGTGCTATATTCTTTCATGGAGTAGACTGTACCTGATTTAGTGGATTCCTTCTTTCTCCACCACCTGAACTCGAGCCGCATTGTGATACTCCTCTGGTAAAAGATGCCATATGGGTTTCTGTCTTTCAAAAACTGTGTGAAAGAGTCCCAGCTCCGCTGTGGAGCTCATTAGCCCAACTACAGTCTTTGCACTCTACAATTAAACGCTGCTTGGGATTCCTCAGCCAGAGACTGAGTAAAGAGGGGAGGGCAGGAGAGAAGCACTGTGGGAGGTGGGGTTTCTAACATACACAGACAGGGGAGTAGACAGTACGCTGAGTCAAGGAGACGGAGCCCCTGGCTCTGTACAAAGGGAACATTTTTCATTTTTCTGTCTCCTTTTTGCTACATCTCTTCCTACCAATTATTTCCCCTCTTTGTTCTTTGCCCCTCCTGTCATTTCCACTCTATCATTGCCTCGGTTAAAGTGATTTCACCTCAACGGTTGAGCAGAACTGAAGAAGGTACAGACACTATGATAGCCCTGTATAGGAAAGCGTGTCTTCCTTTAAAGTCCATACAGTAGTTGTTAATGACAGTTGAACAGGGCATTGTCAAAAATCTCAAAATGCGTGTTCATGCCATCTTAAATTCATTATAATTCAATCTGTGCTCATTATAAGCAAACATAATCTCTGCATACATTGATGTAAAAAATATACTTCATACAAAATTAGAGAAACATGATCTCTCTCTCTCTCTCTCTCTCTCTCTCTCTCTCTATCTGTTTTTACTAAATAGCACAATGTGCCAGTTTTGTGGCTCTTTGTCCACAGTAACTGAGGACAGCTAGGCATTTGTTTTCAGAGAAAATAACTGGAGCTTTGAAAACAATGGGCTGTTAATAAAATACTGAGAATAATAATAGAGGAGGATGAAGGGGATTCAAGCATCCCAGCAGGACGATCAACAGTCTTGTCTCAGCTGCTGGGGAAGGATTGCTGATGTAGACAAAACAGCTTGAGTGATGTTACCTTACCACATATAAATATCATCATAAGGAGGGTAAGAAGAATATGTACACACACTCACATTTACATTAAATATAAGCATGGTTGAAAGTACCTGGTGAGAATATCTCTAGTTACTGTAATAAATGTATCAAGGCAATATCTAAATCAAGTAAGAAACATAATGGGTTAATAAAATGCAATGACTGATTTTTTTAATGCCTCTTTGGGGAAGTAGAACTAAGCTGTGAACACAGTGTTGACATACATTGATACAGCTTACATGCTAGAAAACAGTAGATTATTTACACACCCAACAGCAACATTATCATTCATTCATTTGGAGTCGTGCTTTGGTTCAGCTGGCAACTATAATTCTAATACTAATCCTCCTCTTAGGTCTGTTTTTTTTCCTCTCCAGCAGCTTCTAAGTGAAATGTCCTCCACTCTGTTCAACAGCTGGTCCCTGCTTGTCGGTCTGTCATTGACATATGCAGTGCAAAGTGAAAACAGTGAGCTGAAAGGTGCTAAAATGCTCAGCAGTACATAAGGAAACTGCAGAGTCATGTGATAATTCTCTGTACTGTCCTCAAGCAATCGCTTTCATATGCAAGCAGTCATGTGATGTAGCTGTGTAAATATCAACACAAGGTTTTTTTTCTTGTTAATCTAGTGACAACAGAGCAATGCAAGTTTGGATGCAAAAACTGTATATTTTTTCTCAACCCTGTTTATAAGAGCTGCCCTCCAGCTCTGTATCTCATACATATATATATTAATCTCAGTATTTTGCAGTAGCCATTCCTCAAAAGGAATATCAAAGGCTGTAGTTGTCATATTGTTTGCACTCAGACATAGAGATGTAAGCTGTATATACACACATTGCCAAAGAAAGTTCCCAGCTTCTGCAGTTCTTATATCACACTGCTTTGTGTTGGCCTGCACACCTCTCGCCTCATTGCACCACTGCAGGGCGACCACAAAGTAGAGATAGGGAGCTATACTTCAGCACTCACTAGTCATTTCTCTCGTGTTCCCACCGGGATCAAGATGACCTAATTAGCATATATGTATACTTCTAAATGAGTCTATAACAAGAGCTGAGTTTGCTGCTGAGGATGTGACAGATGGCATTTGACCTATTTACCCTCCTGCCAACGCACAGACCCGCACACATATTAACTGATGCAGACTCAAGTGCGTCAGATCGTGCATTATAGAAATTGCTGCTAATGCTGCAGTGTACAAAGTGATATGATTAATGTTTTGTCTGTAGCAGTTTTTAGAAAGAGTGCTCGAAAAACCCACTGTACACCGGCTCAGCACCAGGTAGACAGATATTTTCTGCAGGAGTTGGTAGAGAACAGTTTAAAGCAGACTGAATATTCAACTTACATTTTTCTGGTCACTTCAAATACATGATAATATTTCTCTGTAACTAGTAGATGTGTTAATAAACAACAGTTTGGTGTATCAGCTTAAAAAGTGATGATATCGCAGTGTTGTGTTCACATCAAGTTGTGAAGTTTTGACAGTGATGTGTTACTTTCTGATTCAAAATGTGACTCCCAGTTATGCTGTTAATACTATGCCAACACCCAGACACAATGTGTTTAATGGGTTCTCTACAATATCAGGGTTTGTTACAGTGAACTAACTTCAGAACCAACAAATATTGTAATAAGGCACTGCTCACATTGTCCTTTGTTATTTGCATGGGTATGCAACATGTTCTCATGAGTATTTTAAAGTCACCAACATGTACATTATAATTAGAACAAGCTAAAAAAGAGCAGTAGACGATAATTTCCCCCCTCAAACAACTGATTCAGCAGTGTGCTCTATGGAGACACTTCATTGTATTGAGCATAGATGGTATACTATATAAAGTTTCTCTTCACTATGCAAAAGTGAAGCCAAATATTGTGAATATGGTGGCTGCCATCTGGGCATTTTGCAGCCACATTATGTGCAGTCATGACCAAGTAGTTGAGTGGCATATCAAACTGCCAATCAAAGCTTCTCTTTACCTGCACCTTCTCCTTAACAACAATTACAACTTTATATATTTGTCAGGGCTAAAAAATGAGTATCCTCTATTTCACACATTCATTGCACTCTGTGGTTTAATGAGGATGAGCATTTTACTCCGAAATGATGTCCGATTGTGAATAAATGACTGTAATGTATTTCCTGAGGTGCCACCATTGCCATGAAATAGCAAGTCAAATTTCCATCTAGAAGAGACTTTTATTCTAAATCAAAAACTGACACCATTCATACTTAAAGGTATGTAATTCTTTTTTTATTTAAGCAAGATTAATCCTGCTGAGATGAGAGGAAGTGGCCAGAAAAACGGTAGTTTCTCCACCATGGCATAGTGACTAGTAACAGGGTCGAGCCTATTTTACATCTACCACCCAGTGAGGTCATATCTTACATTAGTGCTAGGTGTGCACGTCCTGCTTTTAGGGGAACACAATGGTTATGTTGTTCCAAAGAGGATTATAAAACAATTCCTAGTTCAAATCCAGGAAGCTCAGTTACATCATGATTCCACAAAACGCTGTATCATACAAATCGTAAGATAAGTTATTCTTTGTGTTATTGTGGGAGAACAAAAAGCTTTTAGTTTGTGATGTAAATGTGCAGTTCAGACTCACAGTGCTTTCTCACTTTAAAAGGCACAGTGCTTTGTCACTTTAAAAGGCACAAAAGCAGAATTTCAAGGAAATTAGCTTTTATTCCTTCATTCTTTAAGGATGGAAAATTACTGTCAAAATAGAGTCCAGCCATTTTTAATTAAACAAGTCCTTGACCCTATTCCAGGGTCAGTTATTATCACATGCAAGTTATCTCAAAGTACATTGTGCAGACTAAATCTGCACAAAGTATAAAAGACCTCAGGGCGCTGATGCTAATTTGGCTTTAAGCGCTGAGCATCAAGGACTCTGCACAAGAGTCAGCTGTTAAAAACAGGCCAGGAATCCAAATGACAATGGCAAAAAGCACTAATGGACAGGGTAAAGGCAGGGAGGGACTGAGTGTTGCCTTAAGAAGCCCAGCTGAGATGACTCACAGAAAGCTGTTGCCATGCCCGACAGTGGGAAAATAGGTACAAATGATTCATTTTGCCCTGTTGGCGTGAGACGCACCTGCCTTGGGCACATGGGGACAAAGTGCAGAGAGGAGAAAAAAATGTGTTTACCTGGTTTGACTCTTGAATAGTGACAAGGAGGGAAGAAGAGATAGATGTGAGCATGGGAGGACGTTTTAACAGCTCTATACTGACAGCACAAAAGGTGACATTACAGCGAATGGTGGTAGTTAAGACTGCTTCAGATGAGTATAAGGCATTTCTAAAATTAGATCAATGTGAACAAAGAAGAAGATGAATGTTGAGACTACATCAAGACCTAAAGCAGTGCAAATCTCAGCCTTTTAGACAAAAATGTCTAAAAGGTCTGGGTTAATGGGAACAAGGGTCTGCCCCGTGCTAATGTGCTAATGTCAGGTTTAAATTTAAGGTTAGTTGCTAACATAATCCTCACAATGACAATGCTATATGCAGATGTTTAACCGGTGTAATGTTTAGGATGTTCACTGTAATTTAGAATGTTAGTTTGTTATTATCTGTCATAAGTTAAGTAGTTATTTGTTCATAAACCAAAATCTCTTGGACTTTGACCTGATGATGGTGCTGGGTGGAGTCATTCGAAAAGGGGAATAGAAATGACAAAATTTCATGACAATTTACTCATAACCATAAATGGCAACTTCATAGTGTTACAAGAGGAAAAGTCAGGATCATCGAAGTCATGAGGATAACCTGGTAGCCATGAATATCCTTTTAAAATCTGTGCTAATCCCATAGATGGAGAGAGATTTCACAGGAGCAGTGAAAACTTTCACCTGCTGGTGGAGCTCGGGAATCATCCCCCGTAAACCATAAATATCTGTACCCACCTCAGTGGCAATCTGAACAGATACCTCAGTCTGAACCCAAGTTGCGGATTGAATGACCTACATTATCATCCTTAGAACCACACTACTGACATCTCTGAAACATTAATACAACACAATTAGATTTATTTTTTCTAATATTTCACTAATATTTACTTTGTTCCACTATATTTTCTTGTGGGCCTCTAAAAGTTGCTCAAATAACACAGGAAAAATTCTTCCTTTGTTGATCTGGTCACAGCCCACAGACATATGCACTGCAC